ATGTTAGCCTTTAGCTGGGTTAGCTCTCATGTTAGCCTTTAGCTGGGTTAGCTCTCATGTTAGCCTTTAACTGGGTTAGCTCAGATGTTAGCCTTTAGCAGGGTTAGCTCTGATGTTAGTCTTTAGCAGGGTTAGCTCAGATGTTAACCTTTAGCTGGATTAGCTCAGATGTTAGCCTTTAGCTGGGTTAGCTCAGACATTAGCCTTTAGCTCAGGTAAGCTGGTCTGAAGCTAGTTGAGAATAAAAACAAAACAAATGAATTCTGGGTAAATCTGTAATCAGTTTGATTGACAGGTCGACAGATAAATTCTTTCTTCCGAACTCGATGCTCTGAAGCTGAAGGTGTTCCTGACTGAGTCTCAGAGGGTTTGTTTGTTTGTTTGTTTGTTTGTTTGTATGTTTGTTTGTGTGTTTGTTTGTATGTTTGTGTGTTTGTTTGTTGCAGAGCTGACAGGTTTTAGATGTTTTAAGCTGCAGAGTTGTCATGGCGTTTCAGACAGCTTTAAAGACTTCAGGGACTCGATGATGATGATGATGATGATGATGATGATGATGATGATGATGATGATGATGATGAAGCACTTTGTTTTCCTCCTGTTTCTTGGGCTGCATGCTGTTTTCTGCAGGTTTGGTTCTGGCATGAACTTCTCTGTTGTGAACGTGTTGATTAAATATAATCTATAAATAGAAATAAATCAGCTTCAGTGGAGATCTGTCTCCATCACCTGCTTGTTGTAAAAGATTTATTTATTTATTTATTTATTTATTTATTTATTTATTTATTTATTGAACATGTAGCTGAAGGATGTATCTGATTTGTTTGTTGCACGGTCTGGTTGTAAGCTTCTCGATGTGATTTTATTTGTGAGGATTTATCAACATAAATCTTTGTTTCCACATGAAAACTGCTGTTTTTCTTTCTGTCACATTTACACCCTGCTGCCAAAATCAACTTATTTCTTCTAAGAAAGCAGCTGAATGTCTGCTCCGCCCGTTGATCTGAAACCTGGAGAGACGTTACTGAGCACTGCTGCACCCCTATACCATCAGATACTGTCAGCTCAGAGATTATAATCTGATTATTAACAGATTATAAACAGGAGATAACTGTTTTTAACATAAACGTGTCAGAAAGTGGCTGTTGGACTCTTCAGGAGCGCAGCGCCTCACTGTGGAGGCAGCGATAACTGCAACAAACTTTGAATTATTTCCTCCTGTTTTAGTTTCTCAAACACCTGAAGATTTCAGCTTTTAAACATTAAAATATGATTAAAGTGAAGAAAAATACAAAATATTTTTATTTCAAATTTCAGACAAAAGAACACAAAATTTCTGTTTTTCACTTCAAACATTTTAACAAAACCAACAATAAAGACAAGAAACTGATTTTTGTGAAGTTTCCGTAGTAACAGCAGGTTATCACTGAGCTTCAACACTGAGCTCAGAAAAGATGGACCAGAAACCAAGTCCAGATTCTGGTTTTAACTCTTAGACTTGTCCAGTCCCAGAGACCCGAACCAACAAAAACCAGCATAAATACTTTTACATAACAGAACAACCAATCTGAGGTCCAGTTCTTACAGAGACCCAGTAGGTCTACAGAGACCCAGCAGGTCTACAGAGACCCAGCAGGTCTACAGAGTCTCAGCAGGTCTACAGAGACCCAGCAGGTCTAAAGAATCTGAGTAGGTCTAAAGACTCCCAGCAGGTCTACAGTCTCAGCAGGTCTAAAGCGTCTCAGCAGGTCTGAAGAGTCTCAGTAGGTTTAGGGTGTCTCTGCAGGTCTAAAGAGTCTCTGCAGGGTTAGGGTGTCTGCAGGTCCCACTCCTTACGCCTCCTCAATAGGTGGACTGTTGAAGCAGCCATTGGGGACGGTCCTCAGGATGTCCTCTAGGTTTGCGATGTCTGCCAGGATCGTGTCGATGTCCAGGTTGATCCGGGTCAGCTGACGGCGCTGAGCCGCCTCCTGGTCCTCCATGTCCCGGAGACGAGGCCTCAGGTTTTTGTCCACCTCCTTCTGAGCTTTGTCCAGAGAGTCCTCCAGCTGCTTGAGCTTCTGCTGGTCCAGGACCTCGGTCTGATCTGAGGGTTTAGGGTTCAGAGGTCAGGGTTCAGATTCTAGCTCTTTTCCTGCTTTTGTTTCTCTAATTATTGAAACAAGTCTAAAGTTGTTCTGATCAAACTTCTGATTTGGACCTGAGGACAGAAATGAGACGTACCAGTGTTGGCCAGCAGCTTGTTGATGTCCTGTAGAGTTTGTCTAACGGCGTCTCTGGTCCTCGTGGCTCTGTCAGAAGCTGCTGCCGCTCCGGCCGCCGTCTGCGCAGCGTCCTTCTCCAGCTGCTGGGCCTGTTCCAGCCTGAACCCCAGATCTCCAGCCGTCCCCACAGTCCTGGTCTTCAGGTCCTGAGCCCCTTTGTTAAGTGTGGTGGCTTGGTCCACTAAACCAGCATGAGGTGGCAACGAGACCAGCAGCCCCTGAGGAAGACAGGAAGACTGCAGGTGTGAAACAGGAAGGATTCGGTTCTGAGTCCAGTTCAGATTCAGGGCTCGCTGCTCAGCCTGGTCAGGATTTAGATTTATATCTGAATGTTCAGAGGTTTATCAGAAAGTTTTATAAACAATCTGCATAAAATATCATCGAGACATTTTTCAGTTCCACAAGACCGCTGATAAAACTGTCCTAAAGTTTGATCAGTTTTAGTTTCACACAAGCTCATTATTAAAGGAAGGGACAGCTTCCCTCCTGTCTTTGTGCTAAGCTAAGCTAAGTTAAGCTAAGTTAAGCTCTCCCTGGGCTGCCACCTTATGGTGGTGGAGAGGTTTGAGTGTCCCAATGATCCTAGGAGATATGTTATCGGGGGCTTCATGCCCCCAGTAGGGTCACCCAAGGCAATCAGATCCTAGGTGAGGGATCAGACAAAGTGCAGCCCAAAGACCCCTACAATGAGTCACAACAACGGATTCAGTGTTCCCTCGCCCAGACGCGGGTCACCGGGGCCCCACTCTGGAGCCAGGCCTGGAGGTGGGGCACGTTAGCGAGCACCTTTTATCCATGGAGCCCGGTCGGGCACAGCCCTAAGAGGAGATGTGGGTCCTCCTTCCCATGGGCTAACAACCTGTGGGAGGGGCCGTAAGGGTCAGGTGCAATGTGTGTTGGGCAGTGGTCGAAGGCGAAGACCTTGGCGGTCTGATCCTCGGCTACAAAAGCTGGCTCTAGAGATGTGGAATGTCACCTCTCTGGTGGGGAAGGAGCTTGAGCTGGTGTGTGAGGCTGAGAGGTTCTGACTAGATAAAGTTGGACTCACCTCGATGCACCGCTCTGGCTCTGGAACCAGTCTCCTCCAGAGGGGTTGGACTCTCTTCCACTCTGGAGTTGCCCATGCTGAGAGGCACTGAGCAGGAGTGGGCTTACTTATTGCCATCCATCTTGGTGCCTGTACGTTGGGGTTCACCTCGGTGAACGAGAGGGTAGCCTCCCTCTGCCTACGTGTGGGGGCACGGGTCCTGACTGTTGTTTGTGCCTATGAGCCTAACAGCAGTTCAGATTACCCATCCTTTCTGGAGTCCTTGGAGGGGGTGCTGGAGAGCGCTCCTAACAGGGACTCCCTCTTCTGCTGGGGGACTTACATGGGTAATGACAGTGAGACCTGGAGAGGCGTAGTTGGGAGGGCCCCCCCCCCCGATCTGAACCTGAGCGGTGTTTTGTTATTGGACTTCTGTGCTTGTCAAGGATTGTCCATAACACACACCTTGTTCAAGCAAAAGGGTGTCCATGTGTGCTCTTGGCACCAGGACACCCTAGGCTGCAGTTTGATGATCGACTTTGTTGTCGTTTCATCTGATCTGCGGCTGCATGTTTTGGACACTCGGGTGAAGAGAGGGGCAGAGCTGTCAACTGACCACTACCTGGTGGTGAGTTGGCTCCGTTGGTGGGGGAGGATGCCGGTCAGACCTGGCAGACCCAAACGTATAGTGAGGGTCTGCTGGGAACGTCTGTCAGAGTCCCCATCAGACGGAGCTTCAACTCAAACCTCCTGGAGAACTTTGAACACGTTCCAGGAGAGGTGGGGGACATTGAGTCTGAGTGGGCCGTGTTCCCTACCTCCATTGTCGAGACGGCTTTCCTGAGCTGTGGCTGTAAGGTTGTCGGTGCCTGTCATGGTGACAACCCTCTCGAACCCACTGGTGGACACCGGCGGTGAAGGATGCTGTCAGGCTGAAGAAGGAGTCCTATCAGGTGTTTTTGGCCTGTGGGACTCTGGAAGCAGCTGATAGGTATCGGCAGTTCAAGCGGATTGCGGCTCAGGTGGTCGCTGAGGCAAAAACTCGGGTGTGGGAGGAGTTCGGAGAGGCCATGGAAAAAGACTTCCGTACAGCTTTGGGGCAATTCTGGACCACCATCTGGCATGTCTCAGGGGGAAAAGTGGTTTGCCACCAACACTATGGTGGGGATGGTGCGCTGCCAACCTCAACTCAAGACATTGTGGGTCAGTGGACGGAATACTATGAAGACCTCCTCAATCCTACTGAGCCTCAGGACCCTGGGTCGGACGCTCCAATCTCTGGTGCCGAGGCCACTGAGGTGGTTAAAAAGCTCCTTGGTGGCAGGGCGCCGGGGGTGGATGAGATTCTCCCGGAGTTCCTTAAGGCTCCGGATGCTATGGGGTTGTGTTGGTTGACGCGACTCTACAATATCACGTGGACATTGGGGGCAGTTCCCCTGAATTAGCAGACCGGGGTGGTGGTCCCCCTATTTAAGAAGGGGGACCGCAGAGTGTGTTCCAACTATAGGGGGATCACACTTCTAAGCCTCCCTGGTAAGGTCTATTCAGGGGTTCTGGAAAGGAGGGTCCGTCGGATAGTCGAATCTCAGATTCAGGAAGAGCAGTGTGGTTTTGGTCCTAGTCGTGGAACAATGGACCAGCTCTACACCCTCAGCAGGGTCCTGGAGGGTTCATGGGAGTTAAACCAGTCGACATGTGTTTTGTGGACTTGGAGAAGGCGTTCGACTGTGTCCCTCGGGGACTCCTGTGGGGGGTACTATGGGAGTATGGAGTACCAAGCCCGTTGATACGGGCTGTCAGGTCCCTGTAGGACCGGTGCCAGAGCTTGGTCCACATTGCCGGCCTATGCTCCTACCCTCATCTATGGTCACGAGCTTTGGGTAGTGACTGAAAGAAGGAGATCACAGATACAAGCAGCTGAAATG